AGCTTCCTCCACCTGCCCTTTCCAAACTATTTTATATGAAGCTCAGACATATCTCTAAAATTATTTAAAACAAATTCTTACCAACTGGTGAACTTCAGCTTCCAACCAATGCTGAGTAAAGGGCACCATATCTACCCTCTAGTTTGAAACGATTAAAATGAAACAATAGGGCTCCAGATACTACATATAAGCCAAGAATACTGATACCTAAACAAGGCAAGCCATCCAACTGATCCATCACAAGATCATGAAAAGCTTCCAGGCTGTGGGGCTCAGAGAGTGAAGCTAGTGAAACCTGGAAGACTCCCGGAATAGAAGAGATGGAGCTAAAAATCTAGGGGGAAGCGAGTGACTAGGATTTACAGAAAGGGGTACAAGCGGGGAAATTTAGAGAGAAGATTTTTAAGCTCTGTAGAATGCACCCCTGGGGTACTCATCTGGTATACTAGTCACAGTCTCTGTGTGAGGAAATTACCCAAGAGCAAGACAGAATGGCTTAGAAATAAGAGTAACAGGCATCCACTCAGATCTGGGAATGGTACCTGCTCACATCAGCCAGATTGAAAAACTGAAATTAAAAATAAAGCCCTCACTATAAATATAGAGGGGTTTTAGTATAATATTAGCCTATGCTGAGCAGTGACTCAATCCTACTTAACAAATCTTAAAATCTTAACCCCCAAAAAGAAATTGTTTCCAAAAAAATTGAGTTTCAAGATTAAGCTCAAGAACTTTTGAAAGAATACAAATAAATCCAGCACCCAATGAGGTACAAAGTAAAATGTCTAGCAACCAATTAAAAATTAACAGGCATGCAAAAAGCAATATAATCTGTAATTAAGATAAAAAGCAATCAATGCTGATATAGAAGTGACACATATGTTATGATTAGCACATGGGTACATTAAAACACGTATTATAACTGTATTCTGTATATTCAAAAGTGAAATAGACATATGGGAGATACTTTGAAGACCCAAATGGAAATTCTACAGGTGAAAATTACAATGCTTGACATAAAAGATATTTTAGTACAAAAATGACTTGATTTTAAGTTGTGATCTATACATATACCAACTCTTCACCATGAATGTATTCATTGTGTTGCAGACATATACTACTAAAAAAAATAAAATGACTTGATTAATCCAAAAGAAGACAGAAAAAGATAAGTGAAACAAAGGAATAAAGAAATGAACAGGAAAAAAAACCACGATTGATGTTTAATTACTTCAATAATCACATCTAATACAAATAGGGCTGATTAAAAGGCACATATTGTCAGACTGGATTAAATAAGCAACATCAAACTACATTCTGCCTACAAAAAGTGCAGTTTAAACATAAGGACATATATAAGTTGAGCATTAAGAGAATGCTGCTTTGAGAAGATCAAGAAAATAAACCTCTAGCCAGATGTTTAAAAAGGCTGAAAGTCTTTGCCAGGGATTTAGCTCAGTGGTTTCACTGCCGGCTCTGCAAGCGCAAGGACCCGAGTTTGATCCCCGGTACAAAAAAAAAAAAAAAAAAAGGCTGAAAATACAAATTATCAATACCAGAAATGAGAGACAGAACACAAGCACAAATTCTACAAATACATATTAAAGTGATAACATGGTATGAACAACTTTATACCAATATATTCAATAACTTTGATGAAATAAATTCTTTGAAAGACTACTAAATCTATAAGATGAAATGATAAGCTAAAGAGTCCTAGGCCTACTAAAAATTAGAATTTGGATTTAAAATTTCAAAAAAGAAAATTGGAGGCTCAAATAATTTTCATGGTTAGTTCTGCTAAATGTTCAAAAAAGAAATAATAATTCTCTGGGCCAGGGATTTAGCTCAGTGGTTTTGCCGCCTGCTGCGCAAGGGCAAGGACCTGAGTTTGATCCCTAGTACCAAAAAAAAAAAAAGAAATAATAGTTCTAAACAAAGACTCTAGAAAAATTCAAGAAGTAATTCCCAACTCAGTCTTTGAAACCAGGATTGCCATGTTTAAAAAAAGAGACAAAAACAAAACAATAATAACACCATGGACCAACATCTGACATGAACATAAATGCAAAAATCTCTAAGTGTAATGTGAAAGTTAATAAAAAGATAATATGTGTTTCTGGTTAATCTCATAAATGCAAAATTGGTGCAATATTCTAAATCAATTTATTTTAATAATCTAAATGAAGAGCATCCAATGATTATTTTAGCAGACATTGAAAAAACATTTGACATAATCCAGATTAAAAAACCTTCACAGAATTATAACATTTCCTCGGCCTGATAAAGGGCACTGATGAAAACCTCCAGCTAATATCATAGTTAGTGGTGAAACACTCCGTGCTTACTTCTTAAGATCAGAAACAAAGCCAGGCGTGCTGGCATACACCTGTAACCTCAGTATTTTAGCAAGCTGAGGCAGCAAGATTGCAAACTGGAGCCCAACATGGACAAGTTAGCAACTTATTGAAGCCCTAACTCAAAATAAAAAATAAAAAAGGCTGGGAATGTAACCCAGTATGAAGGCTCTGGATGCAGCTCCCAGTGTTGAAAGGAAAGAAAAAGATCAGATGAGGAGCAAGACTTCTCTTACCATGCTATTCAGTGTTTTACCAGAGAGTCCAACCAGTGCATTATTGAAGAGAAAAGGAAAGGAGAGGAGAGGAGAACAGAGAGGAGAGGAAAGCGGAGGCGAGGAAAGGAAAAAGGAAGGGGAGGGGAGGAAAGAGAAAGGAAAAGGAAGGAAGAGGAAAGGAACGAGGGAGGGAGGGATTGCAGGGAAGAAGGAAAGAAAGAATTAAAAGCTATACGGAATGGGAAGAAGTAAACTGCCTTTGTCCATTGACAACATGGTCTATGTAGAAAATGTGATGGCATTTACAAGAAAGGTGCTAAAACTAATAAATGAGTTTGGGAAGGTTACAGGATAGAAGATTAATATACAAAAATCAGACTTATTTCCCATATACTAGAATGCAACAAGCATAAGTTCAGATTTTTAAAATAAACACCATTACAATGATCTAAAATAACCACTTACTAAGTAAAGGGTTCTACATTACAGAAACAAATATAACAGTGTCTCTTTGAGAAACTTTCTAAGTGGAGCAACAAACATAAAAACAGACCATAGATACATTCTAGAAGGTAGAAGAATAAGATAAGTGTGGACATTCACCTAATTGTATCCACAACTCTCTTCTGTTAGGAAACCTATTCTTCCATTGTTAAGCCTTCTTACCCACTAAGAAATCTAATAATTCCATCAATGGGATCAGCAGCTCCAAGACTCCTAATGCTATTAGAATAACTCTTTGTTTGATGCCTGCAGAAAGAGTTAGGTGGCTTAAATCCATATTTGACATTCTTGTATCTAATGAGCCAGTTCTCTTGCCCAAAGAGTTCCCATTCTAGAGGATGCCAGCCACCCACTCCTCTTAGCTGGGGAGCCCATTGGCTGGGCCTGAGAACTCACAGGAACACCATGGGCCTTTACTAGCTGAGCTACCACTAATCCAATACAGCTGACCCAGAATCCTCTTTCATGCTTTTTCAGGGCTGTAAATTGAGGTGGATTAATTAAAATCAGAGCATAATCTAGATTTTAAGTAAAATATTTCAAATTCTTTAGAAAAACTAAACCAAATCCTTAAATAGTCATTGATAAAAGAAATTTTTATTCTTGCTTGCTCAGTGAATTAAGGCAACTCACCCTCTACTTTCTGCTCAATAAACAAGTTTTGAGTTCTTGTGCCCATGGCCTGATCATAATGTTGCCAACACGTTGGAGTAATAAGTCTGTTGTCAGATTCCTCCTTTTTTAAAGATAATAGATGTCAAACCATTGCATCCATCCAGAGACCACAGATAAACTCGCTTAACTATATGGAAGCCAACAGGAATTCTATGAATGAAGGCTGGGACCCACAGGAAGAGGAAACCCCAATATCTACTAGAGGGGAAGACTATAAGAGATCTCTAGCCTCTTCCCCGTGACATTTCTGAACGATGCCAAGAGAGATCACATTCTGGCAGTAGTGGGGAGAGAAGGGGCAGGGAAGGCTGCCTTACACCTGCCCTGTGCGTGATGGCACCAAGTAAGCAGAGGACTTTTGCTTGCCTGACAGTGCTCCCCTGAAGGAACAGCTAGGGTGAGTGTCCCTTCCATCCTGACAGGTAGTGGAGAGTTTACCACATATCATTGTTCTGGGGGTGACTCAATTCTATTTCTGCACAATAAGCAAGGAACTCTCTCACCGTAAAATGGAAGACAGACATGCTAACAAGTGAAATAATGTGTTTTTCACACACAAAAATAAGTGTGCATTTCAGAAAAAGCAAAATGGCATCATTCCTGAGGCATCATAGGAAGATAGAACTTTGTCAGGGTTGTGGCAGAAACAGGAGGCGTGGCAGACGGACACGAGATGGAAGGATGTCCAGCGAAGGGTGAAGAAAGGGAGGCCGAAGCAGCAGGCATCCCTGGGCATTAGAGAACAGCTCAGTGCGGCTGGGCACTAATGAGACAGGGTCAGGAGCCTGAGCAGCAGGCGGGTCAGGGAGGGGAGATCTGACAGCTGTGCTCCAGTGCTTAGACTCTACCATGAGTCGTGCAGACCTCATGGGTGAAGGGGTCTCAGCAAGGCAGGGACAGGGTCAGACTCTCCTTGAAGGCAGAAGGCCTCTGACCTTGTGTCGGGAGCTGGAGACACATTAGGGTGAGCAAGGACAAGGTGAGAGCTCAAGGTGAACATTTCACCACAGCCAGCCCGGGGGGGGGGGGGGGGGGTCCGCCCTGCGGCTGCCCGGGAGCTCTCAGACCCGACCCGAGGCGCAGTTGTACTGAAGAACAGCTCCAGAACAAGTGGTCCCAGCCACCTCCTAGGCTTAAAACCGGGCCGGGATGAAGCTCAGGGGCGCCTCCCCTGCCCGCAAGCGCAAAGACCCGAATCCGATCCCAGGGACCCAAAACAAGCCTGGAAGACCAGGACGTTCTCGGGAATGGGAGACGGGGAGTGGGCGTCAGAAACTCCCGGGGTCCGGGCGACTCAGCCCAGCCTCGCCCCGAGCCTCTCCTTCCGCTCTAATCCGCAGGTCTCTGGAGCGCAGCCAGGGAGCTGTGCATGGCTCGCGCTGCGCCTCGGAGGCTCTGACCTCAAAGCCCCTCCGTTCCCCGCCCCCCTCCCCACCCCCGCTTCCGTGCAGGGCGGACCGGGAAGGCCACAAAAGCCCGGCTGAGGACCCGCTGCCCGCCCAGCCGAGCTGCTGCCCGCACTCCCTCCTCTCCAAGGATGTCTCTCCGGTAAGCGCTGCGGGTGGTCCAAGGCCTCCGTCAGACGGACCCAGCAGAAGGCTCCCCAACAGAAGGCCTGAGCCTCGGCGGTTTAAGAAGACCCTGGGGTCTGCACGGAGGAATTTCTCTCCATACTGAAGGCAGTGAATAGAACGGAGGCCTAAAGGACCGCAGGGCTGTGTGGCTCGGATGGAACTTCGGAGCAGTCCTGGGCACGGGGCTGTCAGGCCCTCCCGCTCCATTCTTGCCTGGTCATTTCCTAGCTGGGAAAACCACTTTGTAAAGTATTGTCCATGTATACAGTGGGGTGATGACAGTATTCACCCCGATGCGTTAGCTAAGGCCACGCAAAGTTCATTTCATGGTGTGTGGCGTAGAAGTTCTTAATGAAAGTAGCTATTTGAATTAGGAAGGGTGATCAGAGCTCCCACTCCAAGAAATTATAAAATGGAAGAAATAAGCAAAACATGGCAGTGGCTATGGCGGTGCACATCTGTAACTGCAGCACTTTGGAGACTGAGGCAGGAGGATTGCCGCAAATACAAGGCTGGCCTGGACTACATAGTGAGTTCAAGGCCATCCTGAACCACATAGCGAGACCCTGTATCTAAATAAATAAAGAAGAAAGAAAGAAAGTTAGAAGGGCAAAATATGCAGAACCTGAAACTCCTGATCTATTTTTAAGAAGTACTGTAGCTTTCGGGGATTAGTAGAGAAATGGGATGATGGAAGACAAGAGGGAATAGCATGGCTGGTAACAAAGAATGACAGTACCCGGCCCTAAATGCTACTGTCTCCCAATCTGTAGGAGCCGGAGGAATGGGTCTCCTCTCCTAGCAGCAAGATTGCTCGATTTGTCCCCAGAAATAAGGGAAAGGAGAAGAGGGTCGGCCTAAGTCCGCTGTGACCGCAGATGGTAGGGGAGAGACCACTGCCCGGGACAGGCAGGGACGGAGCCGGCCCCTCCCCCGTGCTGGCCACACCTCTGCCCCAGCCTGGGTGCTTTCTGGCTGAGGCCAGGCTGGCAGCGGTGCCTTGGCTCAGCCGCTGGCGCCTGCTCTCCGGAGCTCAGCCCCTGGTCCTCTGCCCATCTCTGAGAATCACCATGGCCTTCTTCCTCATAACCCCATTTCAGAGTTGAGCACCCCGCTAGTGGATACAAGAAACTGTTCGAAACTGTGGAGGAACTGTCCTCGCCACTCACAGCTCATGTGACAGGTGGGTCTCGCGCTTCCGGAAGCCAGGCCGTCTTCCTTTCTGCTGGGTCGCTGTCTGTTTGTACTTGTTGTCATCTCTCGGTTCATCTCTGGGCTACAGAGAGCAGAATCTGGAGGTTCCGGGCTTTTCTACCAGAAACCCATTTCTTCTCATTTACCTTCCCTTCCTGCTGCAGGGCAGGTAAACACCACCTACCTGGGACTCCTTACCAAAGGACTATGTCTTTGTCATCCGCAGACCAGCAGCGCCCTGCTCAGAGCCTGACAGTGAATGTTACAAATGTCTTTCCCCTGGGTCTGCATAAGGAGGGCATGGTGACAAGTTTCTGGGAATAATACATGCAAGGGTGCTTCTTTTTGAGCCCATTAAACTGGTAAAGCGTTGGTTCCGTAGGTAGACATGCGCATAGTCCCCGTTCTTTTATTACACCATCTATGAATCCATAAATTCCTTAAACTTTCTGAACCTCAATAACCTACCCTTCCCCCCAAAACTAATTTCCTTCATGGGAATGTTGTGAAGATTAAATGAGGTACTGCGAAAAGAATGACTCACCCAATACTAGACGCAAAGTGACCAGTAGACAGTAGTCATGATTACTATCGCCACCCTAGTGCAGCCGCCATCAGCAGCCAGACCCCTCCCTCGATCTCGAGTGGTGTGATGAGAAGAGACAGTGCCTGGGCAGGTCTCTGTCCTCCCGGTCTCCTGCTTTGTAAAATAGAAGGAAGAAGCGAATGCTCTTTCTCAACCATTCTCATCTAGATTCTCAACTACTAGATTCTGATGCTAGCAATCTAGGTGTTCCTAATCAGAATGGAAAACATTGAGCTTTTCATTAACCCACACCTTCAAGTTTTTATCCTATATCCAGTAGCTGCTGCAACTGACCTACAGGAAACAATCCATTTTGTTTAAAAAATATATCCATGGGCTGGGGATTTAGCTCAGTGGTTCCACTGCCTGCCTTGCAAGCAGAAGGACCAGAGTTCAATCCCTGGTTCCAAAAAAATATATATCCAGTAGGGGTTGAGCAAACCTCACAGTGAACACCAAGAGTCTGTGAGGACCACCCCGGTTACTCCTTGTTCTGTAAATGAGAGAACGAGGCCCAGCCTACACTTGACACCTGAGCCAGTTGCGGGTCTTGACACCCAGCCTGCCTGTGCACCCACTGCTGCAGCAGGTTGGCTTTCGACTGCACAGTGATTCACACCCTCTGAGGGTGAAGCTCTAGATTTTAAAATGGTGATGTTTTCGGTCTTTTATTAAAATGGCTTCTTCTGTAGACACATCTTTTAAAAATGCCTTGATCCGGGGCCAGGGATTTAGCTCAGTGGTTCTGGTGCCTGCCTCGCAAGCACAAGGTCCCAAGTTTGATCCCCAGTACCAAAAAAAAAAAAAAAATGCCTTGATCCCTTCTTCTAATCCATCCCTCTATCCTTCAACCAACCAAAGTACATCAAAAAACGTTAAGACTGAGTTAGCAAGAGGGCATATGGATTGACATCTGAGGAAGGCACTTAGGTGGAGCATCCCATTCACCACAGGTGCTTTGTCCTCGCTCCTTCGAACCCATTATCCAGACTCTAGAGCATTGCCACATTTCCCAACCCTGGGCTCCTAGTGACAGGAGATTCCAGCAGCAGATGTCTTTTGGATGCTTGCTGTTCAGGGTGAGAGCCAGGAGTGAAAGTCACTGCAGGCTTTTTATAGAACAGGCTGCCCAACCCATTGCTAGTCCAGCTTGTGAGGAAGGAGCCCAGCCCAGGACAGGGATATGAAACCGTGTCCTCTGTGTCACTTCGTCTCAGGCAGGGTCCCCCTCTGGCTCACTGGCAGCCTCCTCCGGTGTGGACCAGGACTCTTCGAAGTAGAGTCTGAGCCTTTCTACCATCTGTTTGATGGGCAAGCTCTTCTGCACAAGTTTGACTTCAAAGAAGGCCATGTCACCTACTACAGACGGTAAGGGTCCACCCGTTCCACTCTTACCCAGAACGAGGCCCAGCCCAGCTCCCTTCCCTTGCGCCTTTTAGCTCCTGAGCCCTGGATGAGATCCCTGAACCCTTCTTTCTCACAGTCTATGGGGCCAGTGTGTCTGCTTAGACATCTGAGAGCCCAGTGAGTTAATGAAGAAGCTAAGAACCAGGATCCTGGGGTCCAGCTTCCTGGCTTGAAATCCTGTATCCACCACACACTGCTGGCCTCACTTGGTGACCTCTGGCAAGATGCTATCCTCTAATTCTGGGGACTGTCACCACAAAGTGGGAAGAATAACAGAATCTACGTGATGTGTTCATTACAAGGATTAAACAAGGACCCAGTGTCCAGGACATGGAAAGCACTGAGTAGTAACAAAAGTTGTTATGGTGTTGTTTTATTAGACCACCAGCTATCTAGATTTCTTTCCCATTTTATAATCAGAAAGGACCGGGAAGGAAAGAGAGGTGCCATAAAGGAGGGGAGGACCACGTATGTCATAAGGCTACCAGAAAAAGAAGTTCTCCTAAAATAAAAGGTTATCACTAAAAGGCTTGAAGGCCTAAGCCAGCACCCCAGGAAGCCCCCAGAATGCCACAATGCATGCTTTGTCTCCTGTTTCAATATTCAGGCCTGTTAGTGGCTTTGTGGATCACTACAAATTTCAGAGATTTTGAAGAGAGATCAAAAGGAAGAATAAATGCAGACTTGACAGGATAATTTGAACTGTGAGAGAAGAACAACAGATCGTGCCAAACAAAAATTTAGCTATGGGAGCAAATTTTGGAGTTCAGCTAAAGCTTTCATATGTCTTCTAAAGACTTCATTCCCCTTCATAAAAGTGCAAACTCCAATTTCAATTGTCTCTCCACATGAGAAATCCTAGGCACATCCACCAGCAAGTCTGGGATACGTTTCAGCAGATCTGCTAGCCCACGAGATTGAAGTCAAGAATACCTAGATTTCAAGGCTAGCAAAGTAAATGTTAAGATTGAAGGAAAACACAAGAATAGGGAGGTACTGAAAGGAATATAATTAGGCACAACACATTCTATGTTTCCCCACTACATAGGTTGACAAGTCACGGGCTCCAGGGAGTTAGAGGTCTTATGTGAACTGCCAGTCTGGCTGCATGGTGTGAAATAGAAAGTTCACTTTATCCAACTCTGTCCAATGTGAGTTTTAACCCAGCTTGCCCACATATGCCAGTCTCTTCACTGCACCTCAATTTCCTGTCACTGCAAGACATAGAAAACTAAATTTAAGCTCAGGCACATTGCATCTTCCCCCATCAGCCACTCTTCATTCTCCATGTGCTGGTTAAATGACCATGGCATGCACCCCCTGGACTGCAGTGGTGGCTGCAGTCATTGAAAGTTTTCTCTGTCTCGTGTCTTTCAGGTTCATCCGCACTGATGCTTACGTCCGTGCCATGACTGAGAAAAGAATTGTCATAACTGAATTCGGTACCTACGCTTACCCAGATCCCTGCAAGAATATATTTTCCAGGTCACTGAAACCAAACTGCATGTTACTAAAGACATTTTACATCATCTCTTTTTTTCTAATAGCTTGAAAGTTTTTGAACAGAAAACTTTGTTTGCTTCTGTAGGTTTTTTTCTTACTTTCGAGGAGTGGAGGTTACGGACAATGCCCTTGTAAATGTCTACCCAGTGGGGGAAGATTACTATGCCTGCACAGAGACTAACTTCATTACCAGGATTAATCCAGAGACCTTGGAGACAATCAAGCAGGTAGGAGACTGTGCTCAGGTGACACTGCTCAGGAATTGTGAATTGGGGACTTAGACCCGAATCAACTGTGCGATTTGATGGAAAGAACATGAGAACCAGAGTAAGTTTCAGATTCTTGCTTTGTTGGCAACTGTGAACTATGCAACAAAGAAGACTTTATTTCTTCATGTATGAAATTTTAAACATTTACATGGATTTCAGGAAAACATTATAAAATGGCCAATATATTCATTCATTCATTTGTTCATTCATTCACATACTGAGTGCTTTCCAGCACCAGAACTTCTGCCAGATGTAAGGAATTTATCAATGACAAAGAGAACATGGTCGCTAACCTTCAGGGCTTTTATAGCCTATTATGGACCTCGTACATATAGAGTATTTTAAAATTCTGCTGTTCATGATTCTAGGCAAATACGTTACAACAATTTATCCTTCTTGTGGACATTTCTTATTAGAAATAAAGCTACATCTTAAATGAAATACCATAGAATAAAACATCAGTTACATTAGTAAGTGAAAAATTTTGGTGAGAACTTAGGGAATCTCAATGCAATGTTATTTAAAATAAGCCCACAATTTCAATTTCGACCAGTATTTACTGACACCTACTTGCAAGGCATTGTCCTTATCTTTAGGAAACAATATCTACATTATACAGGTATACAGGGAAAAAGGAAAATTAAACAGGTACACAGCTTAACTATAATAGGACAAGGAATTTGATGAGTCTTTTACTAGAAGGAAAACCTTCTGAGAAAGTACCAGGAAAAGGTAAATTCTAACAGTAGCTGGGAATAAGGATTGGGTAGATCAGGGAAGTTTCAAAAGCCTGCATTTGAGCTGGAATTTAAAGGCAAGTACAGGGCCAGGGATTTAGCTCAGTGCACTGCCCCTGCCTTGCAAGCTCAAGGTCCTGTGTTCAATCCCCCAGTACCTCAAAAAAAAAAAAAGAAAAGAAAAGTACAACTTCAGGGAATGTAGAGAAAGTATATCCAAATGGAATGGGTAACATGACGGGTGGTAGAGAGGGGAAATGAAGGCTGTGTCCATGAAAACCAAGAATAATGCTTCTGATGAGATGCACAGTACTTCTCAGTGGAGGCATGAGACACACTGTAGAGGCTGCTGCACACATTGCAGAGGTCTGGGGTCCCTGATCCCGTGCACTAAACACCAGTCAGATCCTCAATCATTGCACAAACCCACAGTGCCTTGAGCTTTTCCAGGTCTCCTGGTAGAGGGCAATAAAAGGAATCCTGAGTTCCCCTTCAGTCCCAAATACACACTGCCATGTGCAAGACACTGGGTTGCTATCTAGGCTGTCCCATGGCAAGCTGTCGCCTTTCTACATCTAAAATGATTATTCACCGACAATCTCATGCAACTCAAAATAGTACAATAAAAAGAAATCCCATGACTCAAGTGTATAATAGTTTGAGTTCAACTTGTACATGAGAAAAGAAGCTGACCAGGGCACTCAGCCAATGAAGAGCACAGTCATGGGGTCCCAGACTTCAGACACCTGTGGAGTCACCACGGGGTCAGGGACAGCTCAGTGTAGAAGGTGGGCTTCGGGCAAACCTGAAAGGGGGCAGGATCTAGAGAGATGGAAAGAAAGACAACATGGACTTACATGAAAGTGCAAGGGGCAGTGGTGGGCTCAGACCCAGGACAGGTGTGACCGTCTTTCTCTAAACATCGATGGCCTTCGCTGTCCCTCCACAGGTTGATCTTTGCGACTATGTCTCGGTCAATGGAGCCACCGCTCACCCCCACATAGAAAACGATGGGACCGTTTATAACATTGGTAATTGCTTTGGGAAAAATTTTTCCATTGCCTATAATATTATCAAGATCCCTGCGCTGCAAGCAGGTGAGTGTACTAATCCTTCCTCTGCTGAATACATGTATAAAGCATCCAAATAATGGAAAAGTTCACTGGAAATACAGATGCCAGATGAAAGTATTATCCAGGTAGTTAAAATACTCTTAGACTGTAACAGTGGACTCATTCCTGCCTGCCGGAGGACTAGAGCCCCAGGGCACCACAGCATGAGAGGACCATTTGAAAATACAGAAAGAAAGTGGGCAAGTTCAATTCTACAATGTTTCATGATCTAGTGTAATGTGGATTTGATCATATATGACTTAGATTCAAATCCAACAAATATTTATTGAGCACTTATTCATGTACCAAGCAAAATTAAGTAAACATGCATAACAGCAAACATATATGTATATATGAAAGTGTGCTACTCTGAGTTTAATTCCCCAGACAACAAACAAGTCTATAAACAAATCTAGAAAAAAATATATCAAAACAGAATGGACAATGGTCAAGAATTCTCCATTCATCTTACATTCGCTGCCAGGTCCTTGAAAAACCATTTTGATGTGATGGGATTATTTGATTTCGTATGGATTTTTGTTCAAGTAATGTTTACTGTGGTTCTTGAAGTTTAGTACCTGGATGACCAGCATCACTAGGAAGCCATTTAAATAGAAATCTCAAGCTGACTGGATGAGACTTTCTGGGAGCGGGTGCCACAATCAGTATTTTAGAACATTATTCATGTGGTTTTCTGATGCACACCAAGGTTTGAGGACCACTGACTTAGGAGTGAATGAGCTTTAATGTGCATAAGAATTGTTGTAGATGGCAGTTGACATAGACTCACCTCTCCCATGCTTTGGGGCATCTTAGGAGCCTGTACAAAGGCCTCTGACATGCTGGAGTCTTGCCTTACTCTTCTGACTTGAAACCCCTCTCCATCTGTTGCAAGATGCAGCCCCAGTATTCCACAACACTCTTGCTGGAGTGCCCTTTTCCAAAGCTGCTGTTATTTGGATTTTCCTAGGTGATTGCAGCTTTGTATGAAATTTTGCTAAGATAGGCCAGTGGCCAAGAAAATGAAAATACAGATATCTGAAAATGTACTTCCTTGCTTGTATTTAAAAAGTGAGAGGCCCCTCAAAGCCTTTTAAAACCTCTTTATTTCAGACAAGGAAGATCCAATAGGCAAGGCAGAGATCATTGTACAGTTCCCCTGCAGTGACCGGTTCAAGCCATCTTACGTGCACAGGTAACTAGGAGGCCTGCTGTGAATCACCCGGAAAACTGGAGTTTAAAGATCTGCTTTGCCTCCCTCTAATACCACTCCTGATCATGACACTTCCTTGCAGAAATCTACATTTAAACATAATTAACTTCACATAGGCACTGTTGATTCATATAACTAAGCATCCTTTCATTATACATGTTTCTTTGTATTTTGAGAATCACCTCCTTCCATTTACCAGCCCATTTGTGCTTCTGAACAGCTTTGGTCTGACTCCCAACTATATCGTTTTTGTGGAGACACCAGTGAAAATCAACCTGTTCAAGTTCCTGTCCTCCTGGAGTCTGTGGGGGGCCAACTACATGGACTGCTTTGAGTCCAATGAAACCATGGGGGTAAGTCAGATGGGTTTGTTGAGTTTGCGATTTTGAAGTTGTCTCCCTTGTAAATGCATCGAAATATTTTATTTTTAAAGGTTTGGCTTCATGTCGCTGACAAAAAAAGAAGAAAGTACCTCAATAATAAATACAGAACCTCTCCTTTCAACCTCTTCCATCATATCAACACCTATGAAGACTCTGAGTTCCTGATTGTAGATCTCTGCTGCTGGAAAGGGTAAGAAGGAACAGTGTGGTAAGAGTCCCATCTCCAGCTGCTTCTTGAAATTAGGAGCCTTCTATTGAGAGGTTGCCCTCAATATTGAACTGAATTGCATCTAAAAAAGCAAGAGTTAAAAAATGTAATCAGAAAAGCAGTAGGAGTATAGGTAATCAAAAACACACACTGAGCGTCCAAACTATGGCGAATGATTGAAAATCAACTGGGTCCATGAACCAGACTTGAAAGTAAAAGATTCTGTGGCCTGAGAAGTGAACTTAAACTTCATTTAATCCTCTGAGATCTCTAGGGGGTCTAGAACACTACTCACTCTGGGACTGGGAGAAAGAAGTATGTGTTTTTCAGACTAGCCGAGTCACTAAAAAAAAAAAAAAGAAATAGCTCCTACAGACACAAACAGTGGTGACAGAAATGCAGAACAGAAAGTATCTAAGGCTGCTGTTGTTTAAATACACCCATGAGGCTGGTTTCTTTATTTTTTTTGTCCAGCATGAGCCGTAGGAAATAACTCTAATATACAGTCTGGATTGTGGAATAAAGAACACATGATTTTAAAAGTCATGAATCATGTCCCTAACATTATGTGTAATTGTGTTCATGCTTGGTTTCCTGTTTCTGCAGATTTGAATTTGTTTATAATTACTTATATTTAGCCAATTTACGTGAGAACTGGGAAGAGGTGAAAAAAAATGCCAGCAAAGCTCCTCAACCTGAAGTTAGGAGATACGTACTTCCTCTGAATATTGACAAGGTAACCTCTTGCTACACAGGCTTCAGATAGAACGAGAATGTTTTTTCTTTCTCAGGAATTGTTCTCTTGCTTCATATTTTTATATAAAGTCTCAAAATTTCAGAGCTGGAAGGAACTTTAAAAATAAACTAAACTTCTCTCATCTTACAAATGAGGAAGCTAGACCTCAGAAAAATGATGTAACTTAGCAAAAGCCCCCTGCAAATAACCTGAAAATATCCTAGAGGGCAAAAAGCATTTATAGCATTCAGCGGTGTAGGAAAGTCAGAGTTTCTCTGCAAGTGACTGAAATCGCCAGCAGGCTAGCAAGAGAAGAGACACACAGATGTATTAATGCGTGCATGTACACGAGAGCTTTGGAAAGCACGGCTCTCGAAGAGAAGCCACGTGGGACTTGAATAGTCCCATCGGGGTGCAGGTGGGGTGCTGTAGGCACTGGCGCGGAGGAGAAGTGATTTTCGGGAAGGTGATGAGGCTGAAGAATAAACAATAGCCTGAAATGAAGTCCTGGGGTCTCCGGCCGGCCGTGCTGTTTGGGCCCGATCTCCCTCTGCAATAGAAACGCAGTCTTCCTTGGGCGGTGGAGTTGCGGTGAGATGGAAGGGCCGTGCGGCTCCTGGGTGGGTCTGGTCTTGAGGGAGAGCAGACAGCTTGGGGGAAAGCCCTTCGCGCACTGGCTTCTCCGGGGACTCTCAGTTTGAACTCCAGAGTGGCACGGTTTGGGGTTTTGCTTTCCTGGCCCCAACACAGTCGTCTCTTTATTTGTACCTTTTCTTGCTTGTACGCAGTGACTGTCCTTTCAGAATAATAAGAATATCATCGAGGATGTCCAGTGCGATAGAAATGCCGGTCAAAACAAAACAAAACAAAAAAACGCCACAGTTTTCACGTATAAATATATATGGAATCTGTATGTCTTTTCTCTTGTTAGCACAGTGACCAAACCTTCCAAGCGAAAGGTTAAACTTCCCTGCAGCCACCTAATGCTATTAATGCATTTGTCCTCTAGTGGTATTTTCCGATTTACTGAAAACCAACAGGACACTCTCTGTTAGGTCTGTATGCTCCCCAGCCGCACAAAAAGGCCTGAGGCAGCTACGTGGAACATACAACATTGAACCAAAGGTTTTAATCTGATGTAGTGGAAAATGAAGCTAACTTAGAGCCAGAAACTACAGCTCCTAAGCAAGCTTGTAAGCCCTCTGAAGAATTAGAAAGGGAGAGGAGGTTGAGATCAGGCTCTACCCAGAGGCGCAAGAGCTTTTATTTTATTTTTGTTGTTGTTGTTGTTGTTTTGGGTACCAGGGATTGAACTTGGGACCTTGCGCTTGTGAGGCAGGTGGCGGAAACAGTGAGCTAAACCCCCAGCCCCTGGAAGAGCTCTTATAAAGGCAAGGAGAAGTTTAAAAAGCAACATCTGAAGTGGAAATGCAAGGAGTCTTTGAGGCTGGTTCATTAGGAGCATTAGGGAGATGAGTATTGGCCAGAGGGACTAGAAAAATAGGTTGGAGACTTATTTTAAGGGGTCAGCTGTGCTATAACTGTGGTCAGGAGGGAAAGGGTGAAGACGAAGGACCAGCAGTAGATTTGGCCATTTCCAAAGGAGTGGGCTATGTCCATGCAGCCCATTCCACCCCGCCTTCTAATTCCCTATGTGCAACTTTAGCTTATATGTCATTGTTTATGCAAATATAATAAAATACCAACACATACGTATATACAATTACATAATCTTTATTTCTCATTCTCTTGTAACTTTCCATATCCACTATCAATTTTCTATAGCCACAGCAAGATTTTATGCATTGCTTTTTTTCATTTAACGATATATACTAAGTATTTTTCAGTAAAAACTATTTTATACAGTATATACTGCTTTTTTCAGGGGTGAAGTATTCTTTTTGTGAGCATACTGTATTTATTCAACAAAGCCCTCACTGCTGGTTAGTAGAATTGTTTCTGATCTTTGGCTAATTACAAACGATGTCACAAGAAACAACTTTGTACATATGTTTTTTCCATGTATGTGCGGATCTATCAGTAGAATCTATCAGAGGAGAGATCACCATGTCAAAGGCTAAATGCATCTGTTTCAAACCCCCAAAAAAGGAAGTAAAAGCAAAGATCTAGGCTTTTTGAGGAAAACAATGATAATGTTACAGATTTCTTGTATTAAAACCAAATTTAATAATAAAATAACAAGATAAAATAGTAAAATAATCCAATTTAAAATTGACATAAGTGGAAATATTTGACATAAACATCTGCACGCCCTACGTGAACGTAGGTGAAAGTGTAAACATGCACACAGTTCTTCCCCGTGCCACCACTAGGTGTCCTGAGAACGCATTTTGCAAAATCTGCTTTGGCTTGCTCCCGGCTTCCTGTTTCTTCCTACCCTGAAAATCTTCCCCTGTTTACTCTCAGTTCTTAGTTCATTGCCAGAAAAATCCCCTATCTCCTTACCTCAATACGTTCCCTCCTTGTTCTTTAACCAAAATCTGACTTGCTGTGGAGGACACTGGGCTCTGCACCACCGTTTCCGGGGAGGAGGCTCGTCTTCTGCGCAAGGGTTCAGCCCTTGCCCTCTGGGCCTGGCGTTGGTGCGGAGGTCATTGTTCCTTTCTTGCTGCGGAGGTCATTGTTCCTTTCTTACTGCTTCCACCTGATTTTTCCTCCATTTGCCCTTAACCCCCCC